GACTCATTTAATTACCATACGAACCAAGGTAGGTACTGTTATCTCACAAACAGGGAAACTGAAGCCCTTGAAGTGCGCAGTCACTTGCTGAAAGTATAGTGAGAGGGGCACCAGGGTGGCTCAGTGGTTTAAGCGTCTGCTTTGGGCTCAGGTCATGGTCCCAGGGTCTCGGGATCAAGCCCCGCAGCGGGCTCCCTGCTCGGTGGGGAGCCTGTTTCTCCCTCTCCCTCTGCCCCCTCCCCCTGCTTGTGCGTGTACGCACACTCTCTCAAATGAATAAAATCTTTTTTTTTTTTAAGATTTATTTATTTATTTGAGAGAGCGAGAATGAGAGAGAGTACATGAGAGGGGGGAGGGTCAGAGGGAGAAGCAGACTCCCCGCCGAGCAGGGAGCCCGACGCGGGACTCGATCCCGGGACTCCAGGATCATGACCTGAGCCGAAGGCTGTTGCTTTAACCAACTGAGCCACCCAGGCGCCCTCAAATGAATAAAATCTTTTAAAAAAGATACACAGTAAGAAAGCAGGAGAGCAAGGACACAAACCCAAGTGGTTGGCTCTAGAGGTTACGCTGATTAACCACTTCCCAAAATTGCAACTACAGATTTCTGAGATTTCCTCAGACTGTAGCCTAAGAAGGTGCACAGGCATCTGACCAGCTCCAAGGAGGTAAGTGGGGTCTCGGGGCCTTTACCTTGCCCCTGACAGTTCACTTCTGGGACTCTCACTGGCAGAAGCAACATTCCCATATAGCTTTTACTCAAGGAAAACTTAGAGGCTCTCTAAAGCACAAAGGCACTTCCCCACATCCTTTTATAGGGGACATGTAAAATCTGTGGTCCGTGGGCTTTAATTGGAAGAGGTAGATTTTTCTCTATTAATCTCTCTCCTGGTCAGACAAAAAGTGTATGAGCTCAAAGTCCAGGAAAAGACAAGTGATGGCTAGCAAGGAGAAAAGGAGCAAAATGAAAAGTGGAAAAAAAGAAAATCAAGAGTATGTTAAAACTATTAGTCCCCAAGGAAATGCAGCTTAAAACCACAATGAAGATACCACTCTTCAACAGTCTGGCCAAAGCAAAAAATGTAACAAGTGTTAATGAGGATATAGAGAAAATGGAACCCCCATATAGTGCTGGTGGGAGTGTGAAATGATGCAGCTGCTTTGGAAAACAATCAGGCAGTTCCTCAAAAGGTTGTGAAGGACCCAGACATTCCACTTCTATGTATATACCCAAGAGACATGTCCACACACAAACTTGGACACAAACATTCGTAGCAGTATTATTCATAAAAAGCGGAAGTTACCTAGATGCCCATTAATTGATGAATAAATGAAATGTGGTATATCCGTACAAAATATTTGCAACAAAAAGGAATGCATACATGCTATAGCATTGATAGTGAAAGAAGCAAGGTCACATAAAACCGCATATTACATGGTTCCATTTATAGATCTTCCTCAGCTTACAATGGCATTACCTCCCAATAAACCCATTGTAAGTTGAAAATGCACTTAGTACACCTAACCTATGATCATAGCTCAGAGTAGCCTCCCTTAAACATGTTCAAAACAATTGGTCCACATTTGGGCAAAATCATCTAACCCAAAGCCTATTTTATGATGTGAAGACCTCATGTAATTTTTTTTTTTTTTTTAAGATTTTTATTTGACAGAGACAGAGCGAAAGAGGGAACACAAGCAGGGAGAAAGGAAGAGGGAGAAGCAGGCTTCCCGTCGAACAGGGAGCCCGATGCAGGGCTCAATCCCAGGACGCTGGGATCATGACCTGAGCTTTAGAGAGACGCTTAAGGACTGAGCCACCCAGGCGCCCCAAAGATCTCATGTAATTTATTGAATGCTGCACTGAAAGTAAAACAGAATGGTTATACGGGTACAGAACGGTTGTTAAGTGTATCAGTTGTTTATCCTCCTGAGTGGCTGGGAGCTTCTGGGGGCTGCCACTGCCGGGCTTATAGAGGATCAAGCTGCATATTGCTAGCCCAGGAAAAGATTAAAAATCAAAATTCAAAGTACAGTTTCTACTTTATTTGTATCACTTTTACACCATCATAAAGTCAAACTATTGTAACTCTAACTCGGGGAACCATCTGTAAATGAAGTGTCCAGAATAGGCAAATATGCAGAAAGTAGATTAGTCATTGCCTAGGGCTAGGGGGTTGCGGAGGAATGAGGAGTAACTGCTAAGGCACAGAGGGTTTCTTTTTGGAATTAGTGGTGAGGGTTATACAATTCTCAGTATAGTAACAGCCGTTAAACTGCATACTTTAAGTGTGTGACTTGTAAATGTGAATTCTCTCTCCATAAAGCAGTCATTTTTTAAAAGACTTTTAAAAACTGGTTACCAAGTAAAACTACTTGTGTATTCCAGGAGAATCCGTGTCTTTGTAAATGAGAGACCATATTGCAGAAGTTGTAGAAACCCACAATCATTTCAGCAAGGGAAAAAAAAAATCAGAAAGTCTATATGGAAAGGGGAAGGGGAACCGATTTCTGTTTAATTTCAAGTAGTGGGTGTGTTGGGGTCATATCACCCCAAATGCATAGATATTATACGATGGGTTGCATAACTAAATTCTGACCTGCTCATCTGAAAGCTATCAGTTCCAAAAATAAAGGATTTAGAGGAGAGGGGAGATTTAAAAACGAGAAAAACAGGCAAAGGCGGACATTAGTTAGCTTTTTGGAGACTCAAAGTTTACAAATGTAAGGATCCTCTGGCATGTTGCACCCCATGTTCACAAAATAAGAATATGGATTTGAGCCTAAAATATACACCATTTCCTAAGATGAATTTAGAAATCGGACTTAAATTAACTAGAAGTAGAGCCTTCAAGTTCTGGAGCTGAGGGTAAGACAGGAACAGCAAGATCAGTGCTGGGATCTCAGTGTTTGAAATTTGGGAAAAATATTTAAAAGTGAAGGGTCTGCCAAGCCACCCAGTCATGTATCTCCTTAATAATGAGCCTGGAGCAGAAATCAATGCAAACTCTGACTAAAGTGAATACAGAGTCCTAAGGTGGCAATATGTCAAATGACAATATGGAAGTTTCATGGCCATTAGCTGACACCGCGTTAACACATTTTTGGAAACAGAATAATAGAGAATTTCGTTTACATTTTTTAGCCTTTAACTTTCAAACTATTACCAAACTGTTTACTCCCACTCTGTCTTAAGCATCATTTGTATGGAAAAAATCAGCCTACTGCTTTCTTTAAGAACAGGCAAGTCATTAATTGATCCAATGTGTTGGCAGTTCTGGAGAACCTTTTTAGACAGGAACAAATGATGCCTCTTTCTGTTCAAAGAAGCCAAGTTTAACATTTCATGCATACGCACAGAGAAACATTTAAGGGAATCCTGCTAATTAGCTAACAATCCTCTTGGAATTTACAGAACCAAAAAAAACCTTCACAACCCCTCAGGTCAGAGTTTAGATATTAAATGTTTAAAGATACTTTACATGACCTAAAGTGCTCCTCCATGGTTCTCCAAATCCTTGAATATCATAAAGTTTAAGTAGTGCTCCTAGGACTCAATGTTGGGGTACAATCTTTTCCCCCACAAAACTGCTGAGCTCCAAGAAAATATATCAAGTGTTCCTAAATGCTGTATCATAGCGTTTCTAAGTGAACTGCCTCTCCTCTTCATTAATTAAGGGGCTGCATTTTTCTGGCCTATGTGTTAAAAAGCACTGAACTTTCCCCATTTCACCTGTTTGTGTTAAGTTTGACAGGTTCCTTGTTGAAGGCAGCTGGTGTTGATTACCAGAGGCAGACCAAAGCTATACCTCATTAACAGGTGATAACAGCTCTCAGAAGGAAAACTTGTTCCCAAGAATGCACCACCCCCCCAACAATACAGCCAAAGCTTAGTGTTTCATTTCAGTAGCATCACTGTTTATTAAGAAAATGACATTTTTGATCAGGCAACTCCAGTCAGAAAATGCATCTGTCATTTCTATCCCCCCGCCCCCTTACGGATGCTACGGCCTCAACCCAGGAACCCCTCTGGGGAAGGAGGGCCCAACTCAAGAAGGCCAGTCTGCTAAAAGTAGCTGGTTATGGCGGAGAAGCCTGGAGAGGTTTTTTTGTTTTATTCCTACCGCGGAAGCAGTGGTTATGTCAGGCCTATGGATAAATAAATACGAGTTTCAGGGCAATAATGTATTTCTAGCCCTGGCACCCCTCAATCATTAAGAAAAGCTTATTCTTTCTACCCTGAAGTCGCCTCATTCTCGCCAAAAAGAAAGCCTTCAGCATAATCTCCCAATTAGGCAAAGGATAATGCAATACTGGAAAAGTAGGCATAACTTTATGGCCACCATGCTCTTCTTGGCTGGTGGAGGATTATTTACCATCGTGCCTGCACGTCAGCTTCTCCGAATGACACAGAGCACAGGACTTTTATTATTATTTACGATGTGCGTCAACCCAGCGGGGGGGGGCGGGGCTCTTAATCTCCCACGAAGGGCTGAAACCCGACTTGAAGGAGCAAGTTAGCGGTGGTGAGCTGCCAGCACCAGTAACCCTACCCGCCTCCTGACACACAAACGCCGGCATCAGGAGTGTACCTGATGCACACACTAGTGCAGAGCTGAGTTATCAGATCTACCGGTTCCAAACAGGTACGGGGCCGGTCAATAAATATGCAATATGCGAGCCCTGCTCCCAAACTTCCCCTTCCAGATCCTCCTCGGAAAAGTTAGCCCACCTCGGCTAACCCACGTCGCAGCGGCGCTATGCTAATCGGAACACACTCTCTGGTACCCCCCCCTTTCCCCGATCCGATTAGTCCTGCTCTGTAAACCCCCCGAAGTAACGCGAAGCAAAACTTAATAGGCACAGGCAACAGAGACGCGTCTTCTGCGCACACTTCCCAGAAAGGAGCTAAGAGGCAGGCGCTGGATCTTTCTCGGCGCCTACATCCCCTGGGGCTTCCCCTCCCCCGCGCCCGCTGCGCACCCGCCCGGGGCGCTTACCTGCATGGGACATGGTGATGGTCTCGTTGGTGTTGGAGCCCACGTTGAAGATGACCACCGCGGAGGCGTTCTGTAGGAACGCGTTCCGGATCTTATCCCTGTACGTGCAGTTGCCTTTGGGGATGAGGGCTATCCAGTTCTTGCCGTGGGCCGGGGCGGCGAACTTGGTGTTGGGGTCGCAGGCTAGGCGGTCGTGGGCCGAGCTGGCCATGACCACCTCCCCGCGGGCGTCCTGCTTGGGCGAGTGCTCCCCGTAGCGCCCGCACTCCGTCTTCTCGGTGTGCAGCTCGGTGCCGCCGCCGCCCGCCACTCCGGGCCCGGGGGCCGGCGCGGGCTCCGTGTAGGTGATGTTCACGAAGGCGGTGTACCATTCCTCCTTCTCAGCCACGGTGAAGTCCAGGCAGAGCAGATGCACGAAACAAAAGGAAAGCAGCCATGTTGAGAGAGCCAGACTACGGCACGCTTGGATGAGAGACCTTGCCATCTTTATCCGCCGGGGCCCCCTTCCCGCCCCCCGCGCCCTCCCCCCGCCCCGTCCCGTCCCTCCTCCCCAGCCCCGGCCAACCCCGGGCCGGCGGCTTCTCCTCCTCCTCCTCCTCCCGTTCACTCCGGGGACCCGAGGGCCCGCGGCCGGGATGCGCAGCCGCCGCGGGGGCCGGATTCCGAGCGAGGGGATGGCGCCGGCCCCTTCCCCTTTCAGCTGGAGCGTGGCGGCTGCATTTCGCTTCAGCGGCGCTGCAGGGGCGCGGGCGGAGGAGGCGCTTGGGCTTGCGCAGGGGTCCAGCGGCCGAGTGTCCGGCTCCTCGGCGCGGCTTCTGCTTCTCTCATAGGGGTGGCAGGGGCCCCAGGAGCTGCGGGGGGGCGGCTCCGCGCGCTCCGGCCCCGGCGGGGCGGGCGCGGCTGCTCGAAGCCCGAGGTGCTGCCGAGGGCGTCCCGGCCGCCGCCGCCGCCGAGCGCTCGGGTGAGTGGATCCGGCTGCTGGCGCGGCGGCAGCTTCTGCGGCGCGCCGGCTCCCTAGCGCTGGGGACGCTGCGCTCCTCTCTTCGCCGGGTGGCCGCACCCGGGCCACACTTGCCGGAGAAGGGGCGGCTCGGGGGCAGAGGGAGAGAGCGGCCGGAGGGGAGTACGAAGTCTGTGTATGTCCGTATATGTTTGTGTGTGTGTATAATGTATGCGTGCAAGGAGGAGCTTAGTGTGATGTCAAAGATTCTGGGGTCCGCTTGCCACGCTCCCTCGGTCTTTCTTGATGGGCGGCAGCGACCCCTGGCGGGTCCCAAATTCAACCCCGTCTCGGACTTGGTCCAGGTGGGGGCAAAAGGGGAAGCGACCCCCAGACCTATGCGTGCAGGAACAACTTCCTGCGCCTTAAATATAGCGAAACGAGCGTGCCTCTCGTAAACAACCTTATCCTGTGCAGGAGAACTGCAGCGAGCTCCCTCATTACCCACCCTAGGGCCAAAGGCTAAGGCAAATTGGTAGCGAGGGCCTTCCAACACCACACCTGGAGTATCTAGGGCAGTGACGATCAAATTTAAGTGTGTATAAGCATCACCTGGAGGGGGGATGTTACAGCTCAGACTGATGGGCCCTGCCACAGAATTTCTGATTCACTACATCTGGGTTAGGGCTCCAGAACATACCTAACAAGGTCCCAGGTGATGCCCATGCTACTGGCCTAGGGACCACTCTATTAGAGGGAGTATAGGTATGGGTTTCTTTCCTCCCATCTGGAAGCAAACATGTGACATTTGTTTTCTTACAAAATGGGTGTTTCTGTATAAGAAAAGAAACCGAGTGAGCTATTTCTCCACTGTGTTTATTTGGGTTGTCATGACTCGCAGTGTCAACAGGCAAGGGAGGTTTCTTTGTTATAGTGAGGTTATTGTTTATAGTGTGTTCTCCCGGTAGAGAGAGAGATCACAACTAGTCAGCAGAGAGTACAGCCCCTTCAAGTAGTGTTCTTCAAACGGACACAGCACAGTCCCTTGCCATTTAAATGTTTGGATGGTCGTTATACTTTACACCCACAGTTTCCTTGGCTGGAGATACCTGCCGTATAAAATCTCTAAGATAATTCGAGTGATGGTTCTCAATCACTCACGTTGAACTTCCCACCTGGCATTCTTTCAGAGAACCCAGGACTCAGTGATGAACAAAAGCCCGCCTTTTCCCTAAGACCTTAATATGTTGGCAGCTTTCTGTTAATGACAGTCCCCCAGCACAACCTCTCTTTTTCCAGCAGCAGTGCAAGCAGCTGGTGGCTGTTTGGGGGAGAGCAAGGAGCCCCAGCTATACCCAAATTGGAAGCAGGCACAAGAAGAACCACTTAGAAGAATTCGTCTCTATGGTATTTGATGTGCTGGTTTTGTGTGTTTTCCTAACTTACTCATTTTAGAAAATAGGCTTCTAGGCAATTGGGACAGTGCTTTTTATAGTACCTAATGCCAAGGAGGCAGACATGGAGACTGCCTGGCTGTTGGTCCCTGAATCACCAGAGATCCGAGGGAAGAGTTCATTGGCTGAAAACTCCTAGCTAGGTTCTGTGCAGATGTCTTAGCAAACCAAGGTGGTTCCCCAAACCTCTCTATCTCTTAGCAATTTTTCTCCAGCCACAACACTTGGGGAATCTGTGTCATTAAGAATGTATGATTACCGGGGTGCCTAGGTGGTTCAGTTGGTTAAGCATCTGCCTTCAGCTCAGGTCATGATCCTGGGGTCGAGCCCTGTGTCGGGGGGGGGGGTCCCTGCTCAGCAGGGAGTCTGCTTGTCCCTCTCCCTGTGCCCCTACCCCCACTTGTGCTCTCTATCTCTCTCAAATAAGTAAATAAAATCTTTTTTACAAATAAAAGAATGCGTGACTACCGCTTATCCTTTCTTTCTCTTAGAAAAGTTAGAGGTTAAAGAAATGACAGGGTCGAGGAGGCAGCATCCTGGCTGGGAGTTGATTAATTACAGGGACATTGGGCAAATGAGTAAAATATTGAATATAATGGGAACTAGGTTTCTTAGTGTTGGAAAAAATTTACAAATATGGAAAGAAAGAAAGCTCTGAAGAACTCCAGAAGTGTTGGATTAGTTTAAAAATGGATGTGAAATCACACACACATATATACCATACTCTTTTTATTCAGAGGCTGGAAACAATGGATACATCAAATGGCCAAAAGTTCTTGTTTTCTATGTCCCATCCTCCAGTAAAAGAAACCAGGGAAAATCCCCAGTAAGCTTGGAATCTCTCTCTTTTTTTTAAGATTTTATTTATTTATTTGACAGAGACAGAGACAGCGAGAGCAGGAACACAAGCAGCGGGAGTGGGAGAGGGAGAGCAGGCTTCCCGCGGAGGAGGGAGCCCGATGTGGGACTCGATCCCAGGACCCTGGGATCATGACCTGAGCCGAAGGCCAGACGCTTAATGACTGAGCCACCCAGGTGCCCAAGCTTGGAATCTCTTATAGCGCAGTGCTCAAAGCATTATGGCCAACATGCCAAAAGGACACATGAGCCAGCTGGATGGAGCTCCCACTGACCAAATTGGAACAATTCGAGTGTAAAAATAAATAATGATAGTAACTGATTACAACCTGTTGGATAAAACCGGAATCCATGAGTCTGTGCTAATATAAATGAATAAATAAATAGTAAATAGTGATAGAATAAATAGAGAAGGGACAGCTCTTCCTGATGGCAGAATTTGAACTAATAAGATTGATGAAAATAGAAAGTCACTATTCAGCAGTGTCGATTAATTCAGTCAAGAGTCAGTGGATGCTAAGGCTGGTGGGTGGATGTTTGATGTACAGCAGGATGTACAGTTAGCCTGGTCTTGAAGTACCTCCTGAAAATGCTTATTGATTACAAGGGGGGAAATAGTGGATGTATTGACGAGAACCCTGGAAGACACCAAATTGACCAGGGGAACAAGAGGAGCATCGCCGGTAGTAGAGTGAGTCACATCACGTGCCTCATGTGATGTGCTGACAAGAACACAGCATCATCTCTGTGACATTTCTCGCCAAGAAGGCCTGGCCTGAATCTGGACATGGGGAAACATTGGGTAGACCCAAGGTGAGAGGTAGCCTATAAAATGAAAGGTTTGTATTCTTTAAAACTCTTAAGCTCGTGAGAGACAGACAGAAGAACTAATCAATCCAAATCGAAGGAGACTCAAGAGCCATGATAACTCAATGCAACAAATGATCCTAGTTTGGCTCCTGGACCAGAAAGGAAAAATATAACAGTTGGCCAAAATTGAATGCAATCTGTGGATTGGATGGTAATGTCTTCCCAGTGCTGGTTACCTGATTTGGATGTGTATATTGTAGCTATGAGAAGAAGGTTCTTGTGGGAGGATATGCTCTGAAGTATCAAATAGTGATGAGGCATTCTGTCTGCAACTTGCTCTTAGGTGGTTCAAAAAAAAAAAAAAAGATGATAATCTGTCTATAAGATCTTGGTTTCCACTAGCCACTATTGCAGAGAAGCTGGAACCCAATTCATGATAAAATAAAAAGTCAAAAGTCTACTTTGGAGGGGGGAGTGGTGAATAAATCTGTTTCCAGTTTTGTGCTAATGATTCTCTTCCTTTCCAGGAGCATTACTTGACCCATTGAGCTGGATGTACACTAGGGAATAGGACAGGTAAGGTTTTTGCTCTTGTGGAGTTTACATTCGGGGCTGGAAGAAACACATTCTTTTATGTTTTAGATTATACCAAGTAATAACAAGTGCTAGTGAAGAAAATGGCAGAGTGAGAAAGGGTGACCTATTTCATATAAGGTGCTATTTTACATCAAGGTCAGTGGCTCTGATTCCATGACCTTTGAACAGAATCCTCAAAGTATGGGATCTCTGTGTATATTTGGGGGACTGGTTGTACCTGGAAGAGGGAAGCATGAATACAACAGCTCTGAGGTGAGACTGTATTTGCTGTGCTCGAAGAAGAGCAAGGAGACCACTAAGGTTGGAGAGGAGTGAGAGAAAGAGAAAAAGGCCAGAGAGCCGGGTGGCTCATCATACAGTCTTGGGGTCCAAGGTAAGAACACCTTGGATTTTATTCTGAGTGGGAGGAAAAGCCTTTGGAGAGTTTTGAGCAGGGAAATGACATAGTCTGACATATTTTAAGAGGTTTATTCTGGCTGTATTGGCACAAGAATGGGAGCAAAGAGAACAAGCAGGCATTAATAATAATAATTCAGGAAGCAGCGGATTGTGACCTGTGCTAGAAAGGTGGCAGTGAACAAGGGGAAAAGCAATTAGATCCTTAGCATATTTTGAAGATGGAATAAGCAGTATTCTCTAGTGCGTTTAAAATGTAGGATGATGGGGCGTCTAGGTGGCTGAGTCGGTTAAGTGCCTGATTCTTGATTTCTGCTCAGGTCATGATCATGGGGTCATGGGATGGAGCCCTGCATTGGGCTCCATGTTCAGCGGGGAGTCTGCTTGGGATTCTCTCTCTCTCTCTCCCTCTGCACCTGCCCCCTTCTCTCAAATAAATAAATCTTAAAAAAATAAAAACAAAATACAGTGTGAAAAAAAAGAGGATTTCAGAAGGACTCTACAGTTTGGAGCCAAAGCAACTGGCACAATGGAGTTGTCATTTTCTGAGATGAGAAAAGTTGTCAGAGGAGCTGGTTGAGGTCAGAATCAAGAGTTTTGAATAGGAGGTTCGAGGTGCCTAGAGATATCCGAATGGCAATTTCATATAATTCGCTTCAGCATAGACTCCCAGAAGGAAGATGGCTGGATCAAAGCACATGAACAGTTTTCAAGTTATTGACACATGCAGGATGGCTAAACTGCTTTTCTAAAGGTTGGCCTCACTTGATATCCCATGTCCTGGAGTAAAGTGAGCTCCCTAAGTTTTGAAATATCACCAGAAGACAGCTTAGTGGTGAGTCCCAACTGGAAGGGGGACTCTCTCCACCAGCCAAGCAGCCCAGGCCAAATAGAATTTATCAGTTTCTCCAGGGCTCTTTAGTGGAGGAAGATATTCTTTTTTTTTTTTTTTAAAGATTTTATTTTTATTATTTATTTGACAGAGACACAGCGAGAGAGGGAACACAAGCAGGGGGAGTGGGAGACGGAGAAGCAGGCTCCCTGCAGAGCGGGGAGCCCGACGCGGGATTCGATCCCAGGACCCCGGGATCATGA